TACTTATTTACATAATTTACAGTAGTATTTTGATAGAATAACATATTTACTACACTGTAAATTTAATATAGACCTGTTGTAATTGATACTATTTTAGATTAGAACAAGTGTTTTAGCATTATACTAGTACTTATTAGTTTAGAGACTTACCAGAATTTTGATCCAATTTTGGTTGATCAACTTGCAAAATATAATTAGTCGCAATAGAAAAAGAATCATGAACTAGTTTAAAATCAAATACTTATAGTACTAGATATAAATTGGATCATATAGTTATAGCACGATTAATTTTAGAACTATTTTAATTATTTACATGCTTTCTTATTTAAGAATACATGTTTACAAGTCAAATAGTCACATTCAAACTAGTATGCAGTTCTTAAATTTTCCACTATCTAAAAAAGAAATAGCAGTAGCAATTGAATAAATTCAATTCCAATATCAAACCAACTGACTCAACTCATTATTTACAGGACTCATAGGAACAAGGAGAAAGAAAGAAAGAATTGTATGAAAATACAAGAAACAAATTCAGGTAAATATTTTAAACTTAATGTCAGAATTGTGCTGAACTCATATAGATTAAGAATTAGTTGTGCATTTATTTCCAGGAATTTTAACTATATTATAGAATCTTTCCATTGCATTGATAACAGGAATCAAGGAGAAAGATGATCTGGACAGATCAGGGGACACAAGCAACCAAATGCAGACAAGCAATCAAAATTTCAATTAGGTGCATGCTGGATGCATTGTAAAAATAAAACTAGAACTAGCACTCCAAGAATGTAAATCAATCAGTTGTGCATATATGTATGCTTTCTATTTTTTTAGACTAGCCCATTTCTCCATGTGTCCTTTTCCTCTCAATCCTGGACAATCAGCTCAAGAAAAAAATGCTCATAGGAAGCAAAGAAGCTCTTGTCCAGAACCATACATAATCATATCCCACTAATTGGTCTTACATATAAATCAAACTAGAAGAAAATCATGTTTAGCTACTACTTCTAATTTGACATGAGGGACTAATCATTTTTATACAATTTATTGTTGCAGCAAAAGTGCATCACTATATATTTATAGCAGACTTGGTCATGAAAATGTCAGACAATCTGCATGATAATACTAAAATGTTGGAAACTCATTGATGCATTTCAAAATTTTCAATAACTTGTGCTCTTTACAGATCTAATAAAATTAGTCTAAGGTGGTCACCGAAGAGTAAAAATACCAAACTAGATTCCACATAGCATATATAGCATCTGCAGACTTTTAGCATAAGAAGGCCATGGATGCTTCAAGAGATTCAGTCACTGTCATCAAAATAACATGTGTTAATTCTGATTCAGAGAAGGTCAATAGCATGCTAGCAAGGCTGAACAATGCATCGCAAAGGCTTCTCCTCATCTTCTACTCTATGTATCATGAGGAACTTGTACCACACAGATCCAAATCGGAACATCGCATAGCACAAATCCCCGCAGGAAACAACTAAAATACCCTAAACAAATGGGAAAAACTCACAGAAGGGGCTCACCGTGACAACTCACACCACACAACTCGAAATTGAAACATTGCATAGCACAAATCCCCACAAAAAAACTAAAATACCCTAAATAAAAGGGAAAAACTCACACAAGGAGATCACCATGTCAGATTTGAATAAGAAACAAGGGGATTTACCGAGTTACATTCGAAAATCGAACACATCACATATCCAAATCGAAACAACTAAAACCTTGCAGCACACAAGGAAACAACGACAAGCTCGGATCGAGGACGACGAGGACACAAAACACACTACACAACGACTATGAGACTCACCGGAGAAAGGAAGAACGATATTGCCAACGAATCGTCGATGACTCCCACAAATCAGCGTCAAAAACCCACCACTACAAAATACAAATAGTCGACGCGTCGATGAACAAAGCAGTAAACAAACGGGAACTAAATTCACTGGAGAAGAGGAGAAGGAGATCACCGGCGAATCGATGTTGTGTCGCCTTCCACAATCGCCGCATCGCGTGGGACGATGAGAGCAAGAAATTTTCTCGCCCTGTATGCTCTCACTCTCTCTCTCTCACAGACACAGTCACTCAGTCTCTCTCTGTCAACAGTGCAAGTGGGTCCCATGGTAGACCAAAAGTCCAAGCTATACACCCGAAGCAATTGTCCAAGCCCAAAGCAAATTCAGAACCAAAAGCCCACACAGAATAAAAAGCCCACAGACCCAACTAGCAAAGGCCCTACCAGCTTGCACGAATCTCAAATAAATCAAACGGCCAACAAAACGAATGATCCAGCTATAGAAAATCAGTCGACAGCCATATAGCCATCCCGATGGGGGCGGGGCATTAATCGGTTTATTTCGACTCCTCTTTGGAGGTGGATTTTTTCTCAAATTCGTAGCAGTCGACTGATACAATTGCTATGTTCGGTCTTTGTTTTCACATGGTTCGATTTTATCCTCGCATGGAGCTGCTCTAAGGATAAGCCTGTCGTAGGAGAACCGCCACTGAACTCTGGTTGGGGTGTTGTGCACGGCCTGCTTTTCAGGTATTTGACCGACCAGGACAGGAAAACGAGTTGGGCCTTGACGTCAGTTCGTGGTGAGGAAAAAGCACCAAAGGTCCCTCAACGTGTCAGCGAGATAAAAAACATCCTCCAACCACAAAACCAGATATGCTAGGTCCCTTAACTATACAAAACCGGTCACCCGAGGTCCTAGGGCAGTATTGACGCTGGATTTGTCCTACGTGGCGGCTGAGTCAGCGTGGGACCCACATGGGTCCCACATGCCATGATGCCACGTAGGACAATCTCTTCCCCTCTTCTCTCCCTTCCACTCTCTCTCTCACTTTGGCCGATGACGGGCGATGCGGCGGCGGCTTGGTGCGGCACCGACTTGGTGCGGGAGAGGAGGAGGTCCGGCAACCGGCAGGGGAGAAGAGCAGTGGTGAGGCGGGAACATGCTGGGGAGAAGAGCGGTGGCGGCCTTCTCCATGCGCGGGCGGCGGGGGAGCAGCTGGAGGTCCGTCGAGGTGAGGCGGCAACGCACGGTGGCGCGGGCGGCGCGGCGGAGGGGAGGGCCGGCGCGGCCGGCGACTGGCGAGGGAGGAGCCCGGCGGAGAGGAGAACCGAGGAATTCTGGACACCGGGATTCTGCCCCACGTTGTAGAATGGCTAATGCTGGGAGTTGGAGCTGCTGGCGAAGTTGGCCTAGTCGCGGTTGGGTTGGAACGCCAAGTATTGCATTGGCTGGTTCACCACGCCCGCGCCGCCGGGCGGGAGCATCCACACAGTCACCGGTGACATCACCTGCTTGCCGCCGTCACTGGCTGCCGGCATGGCGATGAACGGGATTGTGCTGCCTCCAGCGGCTGTGGGTGCTGTTGCGGATGAGGCGGGGGCGAGGCCGCTGGATATTGAGATCGAGCCACCGCCGTTGGCTTGGAGGAGGGGGGCAGCAACAAAGGGGTAGTAGACCGCGGGGGATGAGCCATGGCCAGCGCCTCCACCGGGTCGTCGGTCGCCGCGCGCGTCGGCTGGAGCTTGCTACGCCGCTTTGGGGTGGGCTCATCGCCGCGGGCAGCCGCCGCGACGGCGGAGGGCGACTCAGTGGGGATGCGGAGGATACCGTCGACAATGGTGGTGATCGCGGGCACGGTGCCCATCCCCGTGGCGGTGTCGATGGCAGGCTCCGACTGCTGCATGAACCAGCGGATGGTCTCGCTGTCGGACTTGTGCCCTAGCTCGCGGGTGAGCCAGCGGATGGTCTCGCAGTCCAACTTGTCACCTGAGTTGGCGCCGCCGCCGCCGTCGCGTCGCCGCCTTGCTCTCCTCCCCACCCGTTGGGCGGCGGCGCCGGCCTGCCCAGAGCGGCGGAAGGAGATGAGGAGGCTGCCTAGAGAAAGAGATGAGGAAGGGAGAGAAGAGGGGAAAGAGGGAGAGGAGGCTGACGTGGATAACCCTAACATGTGGGCCCCACGTGGGTCCCACGCTGACTCAGCCGCCACCAAAGGACCTCGGGTGACCAATTTTGTATAGTTAAGGACCCCGCATACTGGTTTTGCGGTTCGAGGACATTTTTATATCCCGATGACAAGTTGAGGGACCTTTGGTACTTTTTTCTTAGTGGTGACAATTGTAGCTCATGGGCCGAGCTCTCAGTTACCGGATGCAAATAATTTAGCACCGCTCGTAAGAGTGGCAAATAGTTAATTATTCCGACGGCTATTGGTTCCGGCCAAGGCCATTTGGCACGCTTGCTCTGCTTGTTATCAAGATCAAATACAGTATATCACGAAAAGCTCTTACTCTCTAAATCGAAGTATATAACTGAAGACCATTGTGCTGTTACCTCAGGCTGGTCTCCAAGATTCAGATGCCTCTTTTGATGTATATTTCAGCTAGTACTATTTTTTAGCACATATCATGCGTACTGTCTCTGCTTACGGATACAAAAGTTCAAACTCTCCATGCTCCCGTGATAATGATATCCCTCGTAGGTATCTTATCACAACACTAACATGAGTACGGTAGTTTTCTATACTGTCACTTGTCGTATACTAGTTATATAGTCGGCAGTAAAACTCCTCGGGGGGGCCTGAAGAAGCACGAGGCAGACACAGCAGCAGTGGAAATAAACAGCGGTTCTGATAACAACGTGGGCCTCTGATACTCTGCAGGTGACGCAAACGGATTCAAATTCTGCTGGGAAAAAGGAATCATGGCAAAGAGACAAAAGCGGAAGAAACGCGGGAGCAAACAAACGGCTTCGACCAGTACCACTGCTATTTCGCGCATCTCATCTCAACCTTGTCGTGTTCCTGTTTTGAACTCCCTCAACGTTCAAACACTGGTTCCCCCAGATCAAGAGTGATATTCAGTGTATCAGACATAGTAGTGGTACTGTCTGCTTTGCGGTACCAGGAACGCTTGTACGGTGTGATTTTGGCATACTTGCATGATTGTGCAATGCACATCGGAACTTCGGATAGATGAAGAGCTGGATGCTTGTAATCTAAACGAACTGATCTGTTCTAATCTGGCAAGATCATGTCAAGAACAATCCGAAGCCAAGAATTACAATGTTGTTCTTTCACCCCAATATTTGCGGTATCATACATTGTTCAGGTTCAGGGCAGGATTCCCGCCATGGCAATTCTTGGCTCCCCTCACCTCCTTGCACACCCTCTCCAGCATCCCCAGGAAGTCCCTGACGATGACGAAGATCCTGAGCGGGCTCGCCTCGTCCTTGCCGACGTCGCCATGGTAGTACTCGGTGATCTCCCTGACGTGCGCCAGCACCCGCCGCTCGCCGTCCTCCAGCTCCCGGATCACCTCACCGGCGTGGGCGACGAACGGCGCCATGAACGCCACGAAGCACTGGTTCCTCTCGTCGCCGGACAGGTCGCTCCCGACCAGCTCCTTGATCCGGGACAGGCCGTGCGACAGGCCGGACACCGAGGTGGTGAGCACGTCCAGGTCCACGGTCGCCGTCTTCCTGACGTTGGTGAGCTCGGCGCCGAGCCCCGCGGCGATGTCCGCCGCCTCGGCGGCGCGCGACCGGGTCATCTCCTGCACCACGAAGTGCAGCAGCGTGGTCTTCCCGTCGGTGCCCTTGACGTCGGCGAGCTTGAGCAGCGCGTCGAGCTTGAACGCCATGGCGCCGCCGCGGGCAGTCCCGACGTTCATCCGGTTCCCGGTCTTGAGCACGGCCTCCAGCAGCTTCAGGAACAGCTTGCTGGACATCAGCTCCCTGCACGCCTCCTTCCAGACACCAAGAACGACACGCCATTTCCAAACTCAGAATCTTAATAGTATAATCACAAAGCTGCAGAATCAGTAAGACCGCCATTGCGACGAACACCCCAAGATTCACCTCGAGCATCTCGAACGACTTCCTGATGTGGCCGACCTCGTCGGCGAAGGTCTCCCGGTACAGCATCGCCTCCACTCGCGCGAACGCGCACGGTATCGTGAGCACCACCTTGAGCAGCCTCTCCGCCGGGACGAGGCCGTCGACGTCGCCGTCGTAGGCGGACAGCTTGTCGGCCTCGTCCTTGGCCGGCGCCATCTTGATGAGCGCCTCCAGCTGCTGCGCCGACAGGCCGTTCCCTGCGACCAATCCATCCAAACCAAGAGAAAGAAAGAAAAAACTCAAATTAAACACACACACCAACTGTGCCGTGCAGGACGGTGTTGATTCGTGCTCGATCGTGCCGTGCGGTTTGGTTACCGTGCAGCAGGGCGGCGAAGATCTGCTCGGCGGTGGCGCTGACGGCCTTCATCAGGATGGTGAAGTTCTGCAGCCTCTTGGTGTCGAGGACGTGGTGGCCGAGCGAGGGGCTCCGGCTCTGCACCTCCTCGTGCTTCGTCGAACACCTCGCGTTGTACCCGAACAGCGACTCGATCATCTTCTCGTCCAGCCTGCGAATCAGACGTGGTTTGATCAGCGTGTGGCGCGAAAACGTGTACGCTCGTGTGGTCGAAGTGTCGAACACCTCGAGCTCGTTCGTAGTCGTAGGGGAGATGGGGTGGGTTTTGGGTGTACGTACTCGAACGAGCTCGATCGGATCCTGTCCCACACCATCCGCCGGTTGGGCGCGGCGCGCACCTTGTCCCAGTGCAGCGGCTTCAGCTTCGGCAGCGGCGCGCCGTTCTTCCCGACCGCCGGCGCCCACGGCCTGAACAGAGGAGGCGGCGCGGGCGCCGGCGGGAGGATCGGGCCGCCGCTGCTCTGCTGTTTCGGTGCGAGCAGTGGCGGTGGCGGCGGAGGCGTAGGCGGTGGCGGTGGGGGAACGGCCGGTCCACAGCTTGTCTTGACATCCTGCTGCTGTGTTACTGCCGGCGGCGGTGGCGGCGGCGGCGGAGGAGGAGGAGGAGGCGGCCTCATATTGCCTGATTCTGCCTCGTCTTCCTTCACGTGCCCCGCGCCGCCGCTCTGCGCTTCTGGAAACATCAGGGAATGGACGGCTCGCCGGACTTCATGATCCTTGACCACCGATGTCGACACCGATGTCAAGTCCGAAACCGACGAGCTCGGGGAGTGGGCGCGAGACGATCGCTCCCTGTTGCTCGGCGTGCGCGGGCACTGCGGCGAATAAGGGCTCGCAGCCTTGTTCTTCTCTGAGGGCGTCACAGGGGCGGAGCTCCGTCGTCTTGACCGGCCGGATGGCGATGGCGACACGCCATTGCTCCCCGGCTTCGTGTCCCGGAGCTCGGAGTAGGAGAAGTGCGACGAGTGGAAGCAGCACGAGGAATGGACGGAGTCGGCGCCGTCGTCGGACAGGGCAACTCCGCTGTCCTCCTCCTCGCACCTGGGCTCTTCCTTCGGCCCGGCCAACTCCGGCGCCGTCTTCACAACACCGCCGCCGCCGCCATGGTCGGCCTCGACGTACGGCTTGACGGCGTCCAGGTAGAACACGTCGGGGCCAGGATCGAAGCTCACCTTGTTTGTCCCGCTCTGGTCAGCGCCCGGCATGGCCCTCCTCTGGAACCTCCTGCACGCCAGGAACACCACGAGGACGACGAGGAGCACCGCCGCCGCGCCGGACAGCGCGGCGCCCGCGGCGACCACGACAAGCGGCGTGCTCTTCTTCCCTTCCCGCTCGCTGCGCCGTCTGTGCGCCGCGGTGGCGTTCCCCCTCCTGTGCCCGAGCCCGACTCTACCGGGCACCGGGTCCGGGAGCCGCGCGTTCTTGTGCAGCAGCGGCGGCGGCAGGTGGGCACGAGCCGGAGCCGGAGCCGGCGCCGGCGCCGAAGAGACACCACCTCCATGCCCATGCCCATGCCGCCTATCCCGCTCGCCCAGAGCGTTGGCACCAAGCAACAACCTCACCTTCTCATCGTCACCGTCACCATCACCATCGTCTCTCCTCTTCTCGCCATTGCTGCCGCCGCCGATCGAGAAGTGGAGAACAGTGGATGACACGATCAAGAGGAGGCAGAGGAGGGTGATTCCTCTGGCTGAACTGGACATGGCTGATGCCTGCAGGCATCAAACCATTTCAAGGATGGAGGATGGAGAGATTCTTTGGCTCAGGGTCAGGGAGAGAGAGGACGTGGGAGAAGGAGAAGCAAAAGCTGAAACTGGAGAAAGCTGCGAGATCCAAGGGGATGGCCGATCGGCGGGCAGGCACGTACACACGGGGGCAGCTCAAACGTAGAGCTAGCTAGGCTTCAATGCCACTCCAAGGAATCCCATGGCAATGGCAGGTCCGTGCAGCAGAGCGGCGAGTCAGTGACGGCATTGTTGCATGTATGTACCTGTGTATATGCTTTGCGTCACCGCCTCCATACGCACCTGCCCCATTGGGTTTTGACCTTGAGCTTGACCTGCTGTATCAAACTTCCTTTTTTTTCTCTCTTGGGCAATTACTCCTCTTTTTAATTTAGTGTTCCGAAATTTCCGAAACACGGGAATACTTGGCACCTCAAATCCTATGAATGAAAAATCACATCAAAACTACATAAATAATTGTTTGGATATAACGCATGGAAAATGTAGGAATTAGGAGATGGAGAGAGAGAGAGAGAGAAAGAGAGTGATTTTTTTTTAAATTAGGTTGGGTCTTATGTTGAAAATCCTCCAAAAACAGCCATTGCTTTGTTCCAAAAGGACCTATAGGACACTTTCCATAGGATTTGAATTCTATAAAAATTCCTCCAAGATTACTTTGTTCCAAAGGAGTCGTTGGCAAATTTGGTACTTTTTTAAAGACGAAGCTGGGTATAGAAAAATGGTTTGATTTCACGATGTTGGGTACACTACATGAGGCACAAATTAATATCTGAAGAAATCTGGGATGCTCTTTTGGAATGCATGAATTTTACATGAATTGGTTCATTGCCTTCGAAATTCCCGTGAAATTTCTCCGTTCTAAAGGGGGCTTGATAACCGCTATCACTATATGCTATCCATGTCATATGTATATAACCCAAAGGTAATATACTATCATTATCACTAAACATGGACCACAGCTTATCCAAAACTAGATCTTGTTACATGGCAGCTCAGTTTGAACTTGTTACTAATTTATTACTACTACCATGGTCAGTAAGATTCAAATGTATAGTAAAGCAATCTGGCACAGAAATTCACTTTTTTTTTATAGCAGCCTCCAGTTGCTCCTGTTGTCTTTGTTCATCTGTCCCTTTGCAAGTTTGTTGTGTGCTCTCTGCAGCCTTGTTTTTTACCCCAAGGTTGTATGGGCTATGGCCCTCATGCAAGTTTACCCCAAGGCTGTATGGGCTATGGCCCTCATGCAAGCAATAATATTATCAGCAGCAGTACCCCCATTTACCATTGCTGATCTGAGACCATTATTCTCCCCTGAGAACAATTCAATGCCCTTGGCCTCACACATTTGAATTGGTCTTTACAGCTACTGGTAGTACTACATACAAGCTGTCAGGAGGTGTGTTTTTAACAAACTGTACCATATATGCCCTACCCTTGTGTATCTGTGTTGTTAGATTGGTAGCATCCTTGAAGAATGTCCGGGCCCTGGATGTGGTTGGAAACTTGGGATAGAATTGAGTGCCCTCCAAGTCGGTGAAGTGCATGGGATGAGTGGCAGGCTCCTCTCTCCAGAGATACATCTGAACTTCTGAAGACATGTTTCACCCAAACATGGCACTGCATCAGTTGCACGCGGCACAGGACAGACTAGCGAATACAGTGATGATACTGATGCATAATTCTCTTGGATGAGACTTAAGTAGGGTCTAAAGGGCATCATATGGAGGGAAGATCGAGTCACCTTACCTCCTGGGCTTAACCTCCAAGCTAATCATTGTTACTTAGCCATATAAGCCAAAGCATTAAGACAGGGGGTACTCTCTAGCCAATTCCCTCCATCAATCAATGTTGATTTCAATTCTATTCGGACATCAGTATCAAAAAGTGGTTGCATTGCATGCATGGTCGATTCTATTAGCTTTCTTTTTTTTTCCTTTTTTTTTCTTACCAAACTCAACGCTCTCGCCTCTCCTTCGTTGGCTCCTTCCCTTTGCATTGATAGCATTCAAGCTTCGAGGGGGCCTTGTAGTTTTACGACAAATATACATGCGATCTCAAGCTCGATCAAATCAGACATAAATCCGTCAACGATACGCCTCTTGACGATTCGGCGCAGCCCGTGATTGATGCGAGGAGCCAGGGCCATCCGGCCAGCCTCAAACAACCGGGGAGAGCTTGCAACTTGCTACTACTCCGGTAGCCGTACTTCACGTTGATATCTCCCGTTCTTCTACTCCGTTTTAAGGACCGGAAAGCTGGGTGGTCCGATCACCGACAACGGGTAGGACCGAACAGATAATTGTACTGAAGACAATGTAGAGCAAAAAGAAAAAAAAAAGAGATTGATTTGATCCGTGCCATTGCAAATGTGTTTAGGGAATGAGAAAAAAGAAAGAAAAAAAAGGAGGAAGATGAATCTGAGGGGTGGACCCCACGTGCAGATGGGGAAGAAGATGAAAAACGTCACGGTGATGGTATGGTTCTAATTTTATAAAATTTGAGTAGCACGGCTATGAATAGGTAATTTGTAATGGCATTTATCATAGAACTTTTATGGTACAATATACTATCAATATATACTGGTAGTATATAGAATGACATGTTAGAAATTTGATAGAAAATAAAAAATACACTTTTTTTTGAAAGCATAAAAAAAATACTGAGCGACTCTAATTGAGAGTACCTAGTCCTGGATCTTATGGTGCACTAGAGGAGGAGCATCCTGACCGCCATTTGATGACGAAACACGTGATGATAGCACGATTTGATAGAATAACAAAGAAAAGACAAAATTACTCTTTCAAATTTTATACTGTAATCTAATTAACTAAAAAATCAAATCAATCTACACCGTTAGATCATGTATACTTGCAGTATATACTATTGTTGTATATTGTACTGTAAAAGTCACACGTTTGCAATGACAAGATCAAATTAACCAAAAAAAACACAGAATTTATGAGAAGATGGGGCAATGCACGTTTTTTCCCCTTGAAATTTACTCCAATTCAAATCAATTTAACGCGGTTTTTGGGTGGTTATATAAGCTTTTGTCCGCGAAAAAAAATTGTACAATTTAGAATCCATACCGGCGATAGTATTCTTTTTTTTAAAAAAAAAGATCTACTGTAAGTGATTTAACTAGGATCGATGTTGGCTTGTGGCCAAATAGCTAGCATGTGCACTGTGCCAACAATGCCAAATCTATGGCATCAGCAACACTGTATTCCGTACAATTAATAATTTTAAGAGTACACATATGTGCATGTCTTTCAGGAGGGATCTTTAGGCGCCTCCAATTATCGCTAAGTACGTGTAAAGAGCATGCACATATGTGAAGTGGATTTAGAAGTCCTACACATTATTTTCAAACAACCTCATTGCTTTTAGAGAAAGGGGCCACAACACCAGATTTTCATTAAGAAAAATCATTGGTCATTTTGCAACCCGCTAAAATTTCATTTGAATGCAAAACTCAAAACAATTTCATTATTTCAATGCAAAACTGAAACAATTTCATTTACTGATTAATTGTGACCAAATATCTCATCATGTTTTTCAGTACTGTGTGTTGACTTCGGTGTCTAATCCAGCATTGCATCACTAATCATAAGTATCAAAATCGCGCGAAGTGCTAATCCTAAGCACGAAACTAACGTAACTATTTCCATCTCGTACCAGCATTTGATGGCACTATGGCAGGTAGGCAGCTCCACCCCTACACCGTAATAGTTGCTAATCATGCGGTGATGAGATTGATAAGGTAAAAATCTAAAAAGAAATATGGAGTAATAAATCAGAATCTCAGCCATATATGTTACTCTATCCATCTACTTTTGATAGTCATGTTTCATCTTGGCACACAGATCAAGGATAAGTAATTCTACTTATCATCCATTTAAACATGCTACCAGTCATTTCTCATAAACAAGCGATTCATTAATATTTACATTTCTCGATGCACATGTAGCCAATCTTATGAAGGAATGGAGAGTCACGCATTATATCTGAGAAAGTCATTAAGATGATAGATTGTTGGATTAAAATATGTCTATAAAAATAATTTTTTCAGATTTAAAAATATGTCTATCAAAAGTAGATGGAGGGAGTAAAGAGTAGCAAACGGACAAAAAAAATCTAAATGTTGGATTAATATTTATTTTTTTGGTATGTTTGCTACTCTTCACTATATATGCAGTGAGCTAAGATGCTTGTTTATTACTCCAGTTTTTTTTACCTCCTACAATACCTCTACCCCTTCACCGCCACCACCCATCAGCCGAAAGGAGACAGAGCTGTTGACAGCTTAGGGGTGGCAATTTCCTCGTAGGGACCGGGGACGGGGGATTTTCTAACCCATGGGGAAGTCGGGGCAGGGTCCCGGTCATTTGAGGGGACGGGGGATGAAACTTACCCGCGAGGCCCCGGGGTATTTGTTAGCACTTAAAATATAGTACACTGCAAGCCCAGGAGACCCACTTGGTAGAGGCAAGTTGGCCCAAATATCACAATTTAGAGAGGAAAGCCCACAACAACTAGCCCAAATATGAACCGTAGACTAGCACAACCCTATCTGTATATCTCTTTTTTATAGCTGCCCCCATCTCTCCGTGACTCCATGTCTCCATCCCTCTGTCCGCCGTCCGCCTCTCGAAGAGGCGGAGCGCACATGCCGTGCCCCCACCAAGCTTTGTTCCCGCGACAGCCGGCGCTCTTCCCAGCTCAACGCAAAGTTCTTTCCTGCAGTACGAAGCTTCCCCACCTTCTCTGCTCCCATCTTCCCGACAGCGTCCGGGGCTCCTCCCCTGCAACATTCCAACACATGTGTCGACCACGCTCCTCGGCTACAATTCGAAACTCCTCTGGCTCCTACGTCTCCTTTCGAGGTGCCAGTAGTTTGCCATCCCTCGCCCCAACCCAATCTGCTGTCACTGGTAGCCTGATATGTCGTCGGTTCTCCTCTTCTTTCACCACCCGAGGGGCCCCGGTCAGAGTTTGGGAACCCACCGGAGCCGGGGAAGGGTGAGCTTTTTGGAATTTTTTTCGTTTTTAGATTTTTTTTTAATATTTACAGAAATAATCTATCGACCAAAAAAATTACAGAAATAGCCCCTGCCGTCCTAATGGTGGGCGGCAAGCTGACGTGGCAGACGGTGGGTCGACCGCGCCGTCTGCCGCCGTCGGCCAAAATTGCGATTAGGCCCTTGCCGCCCGTACAGAGGGCGGCAAGGGGCTAATTGCAATTTTGGCCGCCCATAAAGAGCTTGCGGCCGTACT